GAAAAAATAAATCCTCACCGCTCAACTGCGGTACATGCCAAACATGTATTTTTTTTTTTTTTTTTTTTTTTTTTTATTTTTTTTTTTTGGCAACCACTGGCAAGTGGTGACGTTTCAATATAAGTGTAAAATTATCAAAGAGACATTTATTTTCAAAACGATCTTTGTCACAATCTTCATAATAGTAAAATACTAATTTAAGAGGTCCAGTGGACACGTACTCATTTAAATTTGAGCATTTTATGCTAAATTTAAACATATTTATAAAAAATATAGAACCATTTTTGTGGCTTGCTAGATAACCCAGATACAAAGGAGAGAACATTTACGTGCAGGTATTACATCATCTAAGCTCTTCTCTTCGTGATTTCATATGGTCTCTTTGGTATGTCTCTTTCATATTGTACAGTGATATGTTTCCCATTGAACCCAAGAGGATTTGATTTACGCAATTTCTGCAATTTTAATTGTACTTTTAGTTTGTTGTTCGCATTAGGTCAAGAAAAGCACAGTCCCCCGTGCGTATTCGGATATTGATTGGTTTTGACTGCCAAAGACGTTAAACTCGTATAAATCATTTCCCCCGAACATTTACATAATTTACATGTTTAGTCTTAACGTTATTTGGCTAAACACCACCCCACCCCAACCCCCAACCCCCCCTTTCCGAGGTATAATGCTTGGGTGTGGAGGGGATTGTCTCCAGTCCTCCGCTCCTCATCTTTCCGAACTGAATTCAATTATCGAGTGTGAAAAATTAATGTTTATTGAAAGTTCAGTTGGTCCTCCTCTTCACAAACACATCGCCGTATAATCCAATTCCCCCATGTAAATAGTTTAAATCTAACACCACCCACCCCGACATAGGATTTACGTGATACATTAACATTTTTGGCTTGTGGAAGATATTAATTTTTCTGGCTGCCCCATCCCACCTTTCCCATTTTAAGAACGATACTACGTGCCTGCTTAATTTAAATCCTACAAATAAAGGGAAACCCATATTGAATTATTTTTGTGAAAAAAAAAATCTTTTTTATTATTATTAATTTTGTGCTACTTCTTAAAGAGACCTATTTGTTTGTTATTAGTTATTAATAATATGTCAACAGTGTATTCCAGTTGAATTGATGATAATCTGCAACATTCTATAAAATCACCTGCGTGCGTGTAATCAGCTGTTCAAACGTCAGCAAGGTGAGCATTTTTATATAACAATTCAAACATTATTCTGGACAAATTATCGGGACTTCGATGAATGCTCTGTTTGTAAAACGGTCTCGATTTTTTGACTTCTGTTTTTGTCCGATACGAATTTAAATGTTCCTTTTAATTCACTATCAAGAATTGCAAATGGGGTGTTCTCTCTGAAGACGTTCACGGTGTAATGAGATTCGTTCACACGGTGATAGATTACGGCAGTTTTGTGTAAAATAAAAGTTACAGATAACATTCTCCAAAAGACGTATTGCAGAACCAATTATAAGATTAAAAGAATATACAATTAACCTAAAAGTTTATACTGGAATAAACGTGTTAGTTTTTACGTTGTTTTACGTTGTTACGGTGATTTCAAATTTTTGAGATGATTGTTTGACAAGTACATCAATCTTTTGGTCGCTCAGTATTATTGATATTTCTAAAAACTGAGACCCTTGATTTCTCTTAGAACTTTCTTTTAATTTAATTTTATAAAAATATGGCTACATGCTACTATTTTGGATTTAAGGGTAATCAACTCGTCAATCTACAATATATAAATGAAATAATATCGCAACACATTTCAGTGACAAAGAACTAGGGTAGATATAATTTATAATTCCACTCTGTTAAGTCTGACCTTTAAAGATGTCTGTAAATTATGATGAAATAAATTGAATTTGACAACTACTCCATCAAATTATTGATCTGACTTTTAACACTTAACTTTGCTTACTCTTTGGAACTGCTTTTATCTGATTATTCGATTTTTTTCTGATTTAGATTCAACATTGCAGTTCTTTTTTTTTTTTTTGGAAAATGGAAGAAGAGGGGTTCTCACGCCAGTTTCCTTGATCAGACTTACATGGCGAAATTCACGCGGAAAAAAAACGATATAATAGTGACAAAATGATTGACCTAAATATATACCTTTGTTAAGAAGACACAGATATACGTCTGCAAAATATGGCCTGGTTATTGTTTTCTTGTATTTATTTACACCGCATAAATTTCTCGTTCTATTCGTCAGATAAAGATCTACCGTCATTGTTATTGACCCGCTTGCTGTCCGGTGAGACAAAACGTTTGCGTAAGATATTCCTACGGAAGTTGATGTTGCAAGGTTACCTGTGTCCAGTTTAAGCAGGTACCACTGTAATTTAAAAAAAAATTCGACAGAAAAAGGATGCATTGTTTTAAACGCATTGACCCCCATGATTAATATTTTCATGTGACCTCTCGTTGTCTCTATTGCCTTATACATCTTTGTTATTCATTGAACAGCAGTTGTATAATCGTGTATATCTTTTCTATGTATCTTGTAAAAATGAGACTGTGACACTGAAAAACTATTCTTATCTTCTTGTAAAATTAGTGCATTTCCGCTCGCTAACATTCTACTGTCGTTTTGTGGCCAAAAATTTACCAGGACATAAAAAGAAAAGTGATCTGTGCGCTGTGTAGGATGAATCATGTGCTACAAGAATTTCTTGACAGATAAACCCAAGTCTAACATAACAGCAATTGGTAAGATATCGGGGAAAAAATTGCACATTAAATTCATTTATCATTTTGTACTATGAGGTTGATATTTAACATTCCTGAAATGGAATGTAATTGATTTTTTGAACAAAGCTACATAATTTCATTAGAATTATTTATGTTTCAGAAAATAAAAAGGGGGAAATGCGGACAAATATTCTAGGGTTGTCTGACCGATACAACATGACAAAGAATGAACGTCCAAGATCTTACAAGTCACAAATCCATCATTACGGGAACTGATCTATGCCTGTCCTCTGTGATTTACGAGCATTGTTTCAAAGTTAACGATTATCGTTCAAGAAAGGAAAACTAAATAAAACGAAAAGGGGGCAAGTTGCTACATACATGTAGCATGAACAATATAGTATTAAATCAAACACCAAATAAAGTAATTCAACATTCAATCAAAAGATTTGTATTTATTTATTTTCTCTGTTCAAATGATGACAGGGTAATAAATTATAATCCATACACGGAAATTGGTATCTGACGAAAATCTAATTATTTGCCATTAAAGTCCAGGTGCTAAGAACAGTTTTGCGGTATAGATTATTTGAAATAAAAATAATTCGAGTGCTTATCGGAAGAGAAAGTAAAATGATATTCCCACGACATTTTTGGGTATCACCTTTTCCCCAAAAGTTTTGCTTGCACATTTGACTTCAAAGTACGTTTGTACTGGATCATTTTCCTTTTCAATTGAAACATAACAAACTCTCGAATTGGTGTAAGTTCCTGCTAGAGAGAATTGAGGCGTTTATCTTGTTTAACCCTACTATAGCTACTACAACTATTGATTCCTGCTAACAAGCACACAGAGAACACAAGCAAACTTAAATAAAAGTAATCTCAATTAAATAGACATATATCTAGATCTCTTGAAAAAAAAGAGACGCGGCTGTATCATCTACATTTGTAGTCGTAATGAGATTGGGTGAGAGTAGTGGCCTAATTTGGGGGCTGCGTGAGACACTTCGATTCTCTAACTCTGGCAAAAAAAAAGAAAAAAAAAAAAAAAAGAAAAAAAAAAAAAAAAAAAAACAAAAACGAGTGCAGTTGTGTCAGTTTGTTAGATGATTACTACAAATGCATAAAATTTAAGACCTACATAATCTTTATTTTCTGGTGTTTTTTTAATGGTTTTTGGACAAACAAGTTTCACTATTTTTGTTTTATCAGCTTTTAAACGATCCTGTAAATGTGTGTGTATAATCAACAAAAACTTCTGAGTAGTCATGTTTATGGTAAATTCTACAATGGTTGAAAAAAAAATTGTTTGAAATTTCCACAGGTATTAGCTGTGAATTGTTGTACAAAAACCGTTATTCTTATAATAAATAGTCAAACAGCAAAGAATTCTGATAACCGTTAATTTGTCTAAAATCGCATTTTCCACGTGCATACCTATTGATCAAAGAATTTTACATTTTTCAAATTGGTCTAAATTTTCTAACATTTGATCTAAATTAAGGGAAAAATACATTTAATTTCATTTTTAGGATGGTCTGAGTTTATCTTTAACAAGATTTTTTTCTAATTCCTCAACACGACTTATTTTCTGCAATGAAAATTTATTTTATGACAGATCGTAGATTCTATATTGACATGAATAATGAGTAAAATAAATTTCTACCATGTAAAAGACATGCCTAGAAAAGAGAAACATCGAAATTTTGTGTTTAATTAAATACCTGGAAAACTGAGTTGAATTTCATCAGACACGAGAAGGTCCTCTACTTACAAAAATAATCATTTTTTCTTCAAGAATGTGTCCACCTTTATCCCCTTTTAACTGTGTTTGGTCATCATATTACACCTGTGTCCACTAAATGTAGATATTTGAGATTACAATTATTATACGTTGTTTAACTGGGTGGTGTAGAGTATTTTGTCTGGTAATTTGTTCTCGATTAATCAGTGAACACTTCTTTGATGTATGCGATGTGAATTGAATAGTCTTAGTTTGCCCGATTGGTAAGATTCGGTGCTTGTTTCTAATTTGGAGTACAATACTTTTTGAAAAATATTTGTAAGTAACATGAGTACGTAAGGTACCGGACTATATGTAAATCATATGTGTGGCTTCTTGTCCACCAGTATTGACTTGTTAATGTTAAAACGGTCATATAGCATTTAAATCAAGTTTTTTTCCTCAATTCCCTTAATAATATGTGATTTCTGTTAGATTTAGATTATCCAACCAATGACATTTCGAGTTCAAGGCTGTTTTCTTGGACGTCCGCAGTTGGAACATTTTACGAACGATTCAATATAGTCGGAACGCAACTTATAAACAGGAAGTGGAGAAAAAGGAGAAAATGGCACACAACTACCGGGAATACGACCCACTAGATGATTACGCCAGTAGGACAAATTCAGTGAGTCAAACACTGCAGTTATTTAATAAAACAACAATTTTACCTCAAATACATAGTGTGGATATTCATTTATTTCTTATTTTGTCAAATTGTTCCGCATGAATTGGGTCTTAATTTAGAAATGACTGTCATTTGTTTACAATATCCCTAATATTTGTGATTATAATGATTTTCTAGACATTAGTGTAAAGTCATGATATGGCACGTTTAAAAGGGAAAATTGAATGTAACAGCTTTACATACCATTGATTGAAATTTCCAAAGTACGCAATTTACAAAGTAGCTATGCACTCCTTTATGCGGAGTTTATTAAAGAATCAACAATGGTATAAGATACTTCACTGTACGCTCTTGTTTTTAATAAAATAGATTTCACTTCAATGACTTTATTAAATTTTTTATAGTTTCAATCTACCTCTGTGAATTATGGAGAAAACCATCCTATCTCATCACCACCCAACTCAGGTACATTATAATTTTTAAAAAGTAAAGCATACATTACAGTATAAATGTGGAGCATGTTATGTAATTGTTTGATATTATGGACCATATGCTAACTCAAGGGTTAAAAAGAGTTACACATGACATTTTATTGAGAAGGTTATTTTTTGAGGTAGGGAGAAATGTGTTGGTCAGACAGGTATGTTGATTCTCACTAGCCAGATTCTTAATTGGTAGAGAACCTGGCAAATAATTCAGAGGGCCCAGCTAGGTTTGAATCCTTCACTGATCTATCTCATTTTTTTCTCCTATTCATGTTACAGTTGTATTACTATTAAGCATCCTCTCATGAAATGCATAGCAATTTACTTGCATGCGAGTAGTTGACCCATAAGGCTTGATTTGGTCTAGAATATTTTCTGACAATTTTTTATCAAGTTAAAAAAAAAGCCCTACAGAGTGAGGATTTAATATGCTTAGTCTTATATGTTTACATTGAATTGTATAGTAAAAATTCATTTTTTCGTTTATTTAGCAAAAGAAGAACAAGCCTCTTCCTGCACATCATCACCAGTTAGAAATGAAAACAGGAGTAACCCAATGGTTTGTTAAATACATTATTTATTGTATTTATAATGTTGTTACTTGTATTTGTTGTCAGCTGATAAGCTCTTACAGATTGGCCAGTTTTCAAAAGTATTGACAGATATTATGAATTTAGGTCTTTTTCACAATATCTCTCATGTCTATAGTCAATAACAAAATGTTTCCCTGTACATCCAAGTTTTTTATTAGTCTATTGTAAAGGTGTGTCTTGTGTTCATTTGAGTAATTCTCACAGGCCTGATTCAATGCATAAGTTCAAAATTAATAAGAAAAAAAGCTAGGGTATTTTTTAAGTAAATTTAGAATTACAATGTACTTAAAATAAAAGATGAAAATATATCTGCTGACACTTTTGTTTAATTTAAATTGACATTGTTCAAGGAGATGCTAATAAGTCTTATATTTTATTTACATTGAATTTAGATGAACAACAGTATAGTACTACAAGAAGGTAAACTTGTCACCCACCAGATGTCCTACAATGACACAGGACAGAGAATGTCAGCATACAATGACACAGGACAGAGAATGTCAGCGTACGGAGAACCCAGTCCAAGACTTCCCGACTCTGCTTCTCTCCCCTTGTCACCTACTCACCGAAAATCATCACCGCATCATTCTGAAACAGAGGTTAGGTCTTTCTTTGAAGGTTCTCAATATATCAACACTCTTGGATTTTACTGATCATTATTTTTTGCTGTTCATAGATATGATTCATAACATAATTTCTGCATTTCCTTTTTTATGTCCATGCAGTCATGTAAAATAACTTAGAGAAAAAGAATGTTTACAGTACTTCTGCAATTATAGACTTTGTACATGTATATAGGAAAAGGAGATTTTTCTTTATAATTTAAAGCTTTTTTATCAATTTCCTTTTAATATATTGATATTCTTTGACATATTAATTTTGTTTTGAATGGGATTTAATGTGTTCATTTACATGTCTTAATGTGTATCATTATTATGTTACAGGATATTTTGGTTTTTGTTGAGCCCCCCAGTAAAAGTCTCTTCTGTAAAATGTGTAACAGTGTTTACAAAGACCCTGTGATGGTGACTTGTGGGGTAAGTATTACCGTTCAAACTGGTAAGAGTGTTAATGATTTTGATTTAGGAAAAAAATCTACAAAGATAAGCATTTTTTTATCTAAAATTGTGTAACGCATGTGTACTTTTGAAGAAAGCTCACTAAAATTCATCATGCATTGAAAGAGATCTTTAAAAAAAAAGTCAAACATATTGTACGTGTGTATTATTTTTATAAATTTTCTTTTTATTGTTTAATTTTGAATTATTCTGAATTGTAGCACTCCTATTGCAGAAGATGTGTCACACAACAGAATGAAGGTAAATTTGTATTCAACATATACAACATGAAAAGACCAGTCAGAGGCAATACTGAATTTCATTTTATGGATTATTTTCATATTTACCAACAACTTATTTTTTGTCATTTTCGTTATGACTTGCTGTAGCCATATTTTAATTTCCAAGTGAATTCTTCTACTCTGAATGTACATAAAGCAAGTTTTGAAAAACTGAAGAAGAAGAGTGCTTAATACGCAAATTTTGTTATCATTTGCTGTAATAATTAAGCATTGAATTCGCAATTTGGATGTTGTTGGTCCTATAACAGCACCTGGCCATGCCGACGAATGGAATACGGCACGTTTGCTTGGTCAGTTTGAGAAATGAGACTAACTTGGACATTTCAGGGTTATTAGACCTCTAGGTTTGATATAATGATGCTTGATTACTTACTCATGGTTAATAATTTTCTTTCAACAGGAGTTTGTCCAATAGACAATCAGACAATAGCAGTGGTGGTGGCTAACATTGCGGTGTCAGAACAGATCGGAGAGATGTACGTCTACTGTCGCCACGGCTGCCGGCTGTCAGAGGATGGTCAGTCGTACGAGGTGGATCCCACGAGATGTCAGGCCACCGTCAAAGTCTCCTGTAGATTGTAAGTTATAATAGGTTGTTTAGTTACATATAAACAATGTATTTGTCCATGTAATGTAAGTTATAAAGGTTGTTCAGTTACTTATATGATGTTCATCTGATGTTATGTGCTTAATAAGTTATGAAAATATCTCAAACTACCTGAGGTGGCATTTATTGATAAATTTTGAAAAAAAAATGTGTAAATGTGTTCTCTGTTTTTACACAAAATTTAGTGTTAATTATTATCTTAATTATAAAATGATTTGATTTTCAGAGAGCATGAAGATACCTGTGATTATATGATGGTGGATTGTCCAAACCACACGGGCTGTCCTCAGTTGTTAAGGAAGGTCAGTACTTATTGTGTAAACCAGAAACTGACAATCTTACAGTTTATTTCAGTGTGGAGATTTTATGTATCTTCTCATTGTAGGATCTGGAGGACCATATCAAATTCTGTAGTAATGTCCGATGTCCTCATTTCAAACACAGGTAGGTCACAAAAAAATACAGCCTACTCTGGATATATTGAAATTCAGGGGACCATGCAAATTATTTCAATATATCCGTAATTCAATATAAGCGAAATCGTGAAGCCACCATTTTTTTAAATTAAAAGTTTAATCCCGATCTTAAAATAAAGAACAAACCCGAACAAATTAATTTTGTCATTGTTTACCTATAACAGTGTACAGATCGCATGGAATATTAGTCCTTGAAAGTTTAATTAAAATGGTTTCTTTGTAATTCTTTTTTCTCGATAAGACAATCTTCAACTTCATTATTATTCCCCGATCGCATTTATTTACATTTTGGAGAAAAATCACCGATGTCAATTCAGGTTTATCATTAGCCATTCACAGTACGGATTTAATTTGAAAGTTAAGTTTTTTCTAGATCTGTGGGGGTTTCTATGTTGCCTTTAGCCTAAATACTTCCGTATTATATACATGGAAACAAAGAATTTAGCAGTGAAAAATTTTATTTTGTAAGAGCATGCAGTATTAAAAAAAACATAAGGTGCACGTGAAAACTGAATTATTCACACCTTTTTATATCAACTGGTCAGTCAGGCATAATTTCTGTCACCAAACGTAACGACAGCGCCGCCAGGGAGTACTTCAGTATAACCGTTATGAAAACAACTCATTATCACCTGTGGGGACCGATTAGTGGCTTCAATATAAGCAAAATTTCAATATAGCCGATTTCAATATAACCGTTATTTTAATGCAAAGAATATGAGAGTCAAAAACTGGGGATTTATTTTTATTTCAAAATAAGCGGAATTTCAAAATAAGCGAGTTCAATGTAAGTGGAGTTAGCTGTAAATCAAGTTGTTTTGTGAAGGATAACTATTGACTTGATTTTGTGAAAATGAACAAAGCTTATGAAGCATCTTACACTCATTATAGTTGTGAATTTACTGGAACGCAAGAAGAACTTCAGGATCACCTGAAGATTTGTAAGTACGAGGGGGTGAAGGACTTTCTTGGTCACATAGAGGAGAAGATCGGGGAACTCCAGGAATCCCTAGAGGAGAAGGACCAAGAAATCAACTTCCTCCGCTCCATGTTAGGGAAGCTGTCAGAGAGGCTGGAGAACCTGGAGAAAAGTGCTGAGATGAAACTAGGTCAGGGTCATTTATGTGACCTATTTATTTGTTAAGTTGAAATAGTATAGACACTGCAGTTGAAAGTTCTTTTATTATATCCATAAATCAATAATAAGATGATTTGAAAGCTGTATGAAATTTGTGAGTAGAGAACTTTGATTTTTCATAAACATTGTATCTTTTCTGCTCATGCTGTTTCAGAACTTATTGAACGCACTCAGAATAATTTACTTAGTGAAGTTGTGGAGAATCGCAAGGAGCGGGCCCTTCTCATGGTATGTTTACTTAAAAGTCGTTTTATAGAGAAATGTTTTTAAATCTATTTTGCCTTTTGATTAGAATTGAAATTATATTATGATTACATAAACAATTGTGTTCAGTTCTCTAGGCCATTTTGAATTTTAAGCATGTATGTAAACTTTCATGTTTTGGTAGGATGAACTAGCCAACATACAAAATCAGTTGAATGGACGCAATGGAGGTAATTTATTTTAAATTAATTCTGTAAGGGAGATAACTCTTGTCTTCCTCTTCTGCAGAATGAGGTGGCACATATAACTAGTGTGTTGAATGGAAGGAACTCCGTGTTTGGAGGTACTTGTGTTTACTGGTGTGGGATGATTTTTTTTTTTGTCTTGACCCTCTTGTATATGCCAATATCTTTGAATTTTGAGAACCCAGTTTTTTTTTAATTTTCTTATCACAAGGCATTGAAATGGACAATTTGCACATTTTAGTTTTTAATATATTTTTGTTTGCATTTAAAAAATATATGTACGAGGGTTGTTAGAAAAGTTCGCGGACACATTGAATTACGGAAAATCTATTGTGTACTGTGAAGTATGACCTATGTCTGAATAAATTCCTACATTTTGTTTATTAGTATGTAAAAAATCAGGTCCATTTACTAAAATCTTGAAAATTTACAACGATTTTTACTATTATGTCATAGGATTCACGGAGCAATCCCTTGACGTAAGGCGACGTGACAACCAGATTTCAATCCGTTATACTTTGTCGCAGTTCTATAAATCTTTCCTTTCTTCAGATTTTTCCTATCTTTTTTCTACTTTAAAATTGAACATCCATATCAAGACATGTTACCTTTCTACTATAATGTCTTTTATACTAATTCGGATTGTATTGATTCGGATATTTTCGAGATCTTTAAAAACGTCTATGCAGTAAATTGATCAGGTTTGAAAACTGCAAAACCATATAGGCACAACGTCCATGCGATAAGAGGGTATTGAAGTATCGATGGAGTTAATCATTCAAAATGTTAATCCTTCCATTTATATGAAGTCACAATCATTTGAAAACTTTTGTCCTTTGTGTGTGTAGGAAATTTCCGGCAACATCTTGAAAATTTTAATCTCTTTTTAGACATTTTACTGTCTACACACATAATTTCTACGTAGTGCAGTGCTCCATGACGCTCAATGACGTTCCGATTTTTGACTGTATTTTTACGTGTTGATCATTTATAAATGGCTATAAAACAGTCATATACCCTCCAATTTAATTCAAAATTTCTCCAAGTGACGCTTCATGAATACTTTAGCGATAGGTAAAATATCATAAATCTCTTTGCGCTACAATTGTGCAATTTTTAATTTTAATAAAGAGTCTTTGTAATGTAAACGTGCCAAAATGGAGCATGCTCCGTGAAGCAAGATTTATCAAAATAAAGAAGCCGTTTATTTTTCAATGATCACCGGAGAGCACCAAATTTTTGTATATTTATTGGAAAATAGGTTAATATTTTATCTGGAAAGTTTTACCGGTTTCGTGGAAATAGCGCGCTCACAATAGAACTTGTCCGCGAACTTTTCTAACACCCCTCGTAGATTATTAAACATCCTTGAAATTAATCAGTCTATCAGCTTTGGGCATTTTCAAATTTTCAATTTTCCTATTTAACATGTGGATGGATCACTTCATATCAGGATGTTGCGTACCATTATCACTTGTACATAACCTTGATCTTTGAACTTCAAATAGATTTATTGATTGGTTAATAAGGTTTTCTGCATCAGTACTTCTGAAGGTCATTTTTATGATATGGCAGTTTAATTTAAATAAGTACTCGGTCTGCTCAGATACTACCTACCAGTAGACAAAAGTCTTTTAGATCTTGAGAATCTCAAAATTTAAGAAACTAGACTTCCATGAATACTTTTCAGGACATTTCAACACATAATAATTCATGAATGTGATTCAGATGACGATGAAAACATTTCATCTGAATCTTTCCTTCTTTGCTTACAAATTTTGATTTTCAGAATTACATGCATGCTTGTTTATGAGAGAATAATGTTTTTCACTTATTCCCTTTTGAGTCTTGTTTTGATTCCAAAAAATCTTGATATTTAACCTAACACCTCAGGAAATGAAGTGAAGGGCATGGGAAGATCTAAGTACATGTATCGTTATTTAAAGCATTACCGCTTGTATACGTACATGTACTTCCAACAATTCTGCATGTAACTAATATGTTCTTTTTATGCTCAAAATATGATTAAGTACACAACTTTATGTCTGCTGGAGGCCAATTTTGAAATTCAGAAATCATATTGTCAAGATCTTAATACAATGTAATTCTGCATTTTTTAAAGTTAAAAAAACTTTCTCTTCATTGCAGTCTATGATCCTCAGCAAATGTTCAAATGTCGTGGGACTTTTGTTGGACATCAGGTATGGATAAGTGTATTTATTTTTAAATTGTATACTGTAGATTGGCAAATAATCATGATGGTTTTAATTTTGCTATGTTCGCGATTTATCATTTTTCCATGAAATTTAACTGTCATGAATGTTATTATTAGTTTTTAAAATCATTTAAATGCATATACGAAATTTTGAAATAATTTCTTGCAGTGTGAAATAAAACCATCGCAATTGGTACTTTTTGAGATATCGTTTAATTCTAACACTGTGGAATAAAAACGACTTAAGGAATATGACTTTAATTTTAATCAGATTCAATTGAGGAAAAAAAATCAAAAGTATGGTACATGTTTTGTAATTCCATAAGATTTTTTTCTGTGCAGAGAAGAGCAAAAAACAAATATGATTTGTTATATTTTATTTGTCCTTCAAGTAGGATGGCTTCTAGATGAAGTATTAGTGGTATCGTAATGTTAGTACCATAATCTTTTCAGGGACCGGTTTGGTGCTTAACAGAATATGGAGACTTCCTGTTCAGTGGTTCCTCTGATAAAACTATAAAGGTAATTTAGGAGTTCTAATGTTATATTATTTTGATATATAGATACTGTTGCCAAATCATTACAAGTGTAATACAAAAATTTAGGTAGACAGTTTAAAAGGATACAACAAATTAAAACTTTTCTGAAAAATTGATTCACTTATGTGTGTGATATTTTTGAGTTGTACCTGTAGTTGTCAATGTATTTTGTAGGTGTGGGATACAGGTAACAATTACAGGTGTATAAAGACGATGGAGGGACACACTGGCATTGTTCTGGCCCTCTGTACCTGGGGTAACAAACTCTACAGTGGGTCACAGGACTGTAGGATCAGGGTAAGGCAAAGGGAGAGGGTAAAGTAGAGAGAATATACTAAACTACAGTGGGTCTCAGGACTGTAGGATCAGGGTTAGGCATGGGGAGGGGGTAAAGTAGGGAGATTATACTAAACTACAGTGGGTCTCAGGAATGTAGGATCAGGGTAAGGCATTGGGTGGGGCTAAAGTAGGTAGATTTAACTAAATTTCATTAATTTATGGGGGAAGGGTCAAACAATAGCTTTTTAAAATCTAATAGGATGAGTATAAGCAAGTATATTAGATTAAAAAATTCATTGATTTTTTAAGGTATGGAATATTGAGAACTTTGAGAAAGAGAATTCCGTAGAAGCTCATGAAAATCCTGTGTGCACTTTGACCTCAGCCAAAAACATGCTGTTCAGTGGGTCTTTAAAAGTGATCAAGGTGAGAAATTAGAAAGTTGTGATATAAAGTCTGTGTAAATCAGTTAAGATGATAAGGTATTTTAAAGCCAATGTTTCTGTACAAGGGTAGTTTTCGTATGCATGCAATGATTACTTCATCTCCAGCCTTGCACACTTGCATAATAATTTTACAGTGCTTAATAAAGAAGCATGCAAAATTATCCCCATTTGCTGGAAAAAGTTGGCTGGTTGTTGGAATAATTATGTGGATCCTTTTATATTTTCTGTAGGTTTGGGATGCCCACACAATGGAACTTAAAAAGGAACTGACAGGAATGAACCACTGGGTCAGGGCTCTGGTAGCCACCCAAAACTACTTATACAGTGGTTCCTACCAGACAATAAAGGTAAGGGAAGCCACCCAAAACTACTTATACAGTGGTACCAGACAATAAAGGTAATTAAGGGTAGCCACCCAAAACTTCTTATACATTGGCTATTATCAGACAATATTGGTAAGATTAGCCACAATCTGTCTGATATTTTTTGATAGAGGATTACATCCAAAAACACTTTTAAATAAATATTTTTTTCATACAGGTTGGTACAAGGCATATATCAAACTAGATTGTATACTTTCTGTTGTAGATCTGGGATTTAGACACTCTGGAGGTTATACACAATCTTGAGACGTCGGAGGGCAGTGTTTACAGTTTAGCCGTCACTAACCACCACATCCTCTGTGGCACTTATGAAAATGTCATCCACGTAAGACTCTTACTATATGATTCCTTTCATTACTTTGTGTATAGTAACAAACTGAGGAATTTTGTTTATTTACATCAATTACATGTACTATTTTTCTCCCTCTTTGTCAGGTATGGGAGCTGGTCTCCAAGGAGTTAGTGGTGACCCTGAAAGGTCACACAGGCACGGTGTATAGCATGGCTGTTCTTCACACGACCTCGGGGACCAAAGTGTTCAGTGCTTCTTATGACCGGTCTCTCAGAGTCAGTGATAACTTCTTCTCTTTGATTTATTTTACTTTTGTGAAAATGTGTTTAATTTCTTTGAAAATGATCTAAGATAACTTTTTTTTTTCATTAAGTATATGTTGTACTTGTATTTTGATTAAAAAAAAACAAGAAGATGGAGAAATGCTATTTAATTCCCATAATCTTTGCAAAGAAAATAGTTTACATAGATACAGCTGTATATAAAAATAACTGTGTTTGATCACATTGTATATTTGTTGTAAATAATGTAATTGTTTTCTTTTAGGTTTGGAGCATGGACAATATGATCTGCACTCAGACATTGCTCAGACACCAGGGCAGTGTAGCTTGCCTGGCTGTTTCTAGAGGAAGGATTTTCTCTGGTTCTGTTGACAGCACAGTGAAGGTACAATGGGTCATTATTTTCTATGGATAAGTTATATTTTAATAATTCCCTGAATTATAATTCACATGAAAACAAGAATGCATAGATTTTCTGTTATCTCTGTAGGTTTGGCAGTAACAGGAAGTTTACAGACTTGGAGGTGTCTTGCATTGTGATCAAAATTGTGATGCCATTTTGATATATAATTGTACTACCTTAATATTTTGTATGGACGTTGCAATATATCTTATACATATACTTTGTGATTATTTTTTGCTGTATATTGTTGCCTTATATATAGCTTTACATATTTTAATGTTAATAAAATCATGTTTTATGTAAACTTATGTTTGTTATTATACAAATATGGACTCAATGTAGGTCAATATGCATTTATAATGACCCAGGATGATATTGACCGAAGATTTTATATCGACCGAGGGCGCTAGCCCGAGGTCGATATACTTCATGTATCTGAGGTCAATATCTGTCTTCCTGGGTCATTATAAATGCATATTGACCGTGCATTGAGTCCATATTTATTATATTATATTAATAATTATTTCCAAAATTTTTAGTACAATGTTTATCTTCCTTATGTTTACAGAGATAGTATTAACCATAAATAAGTTGAATGTAAATGTTTCAGAATTCATTGAATATCACTCAGAGGAAATTGTTTCGGTAATAAATTTTAACCCATATCATAATAATAACGCAATATATCTATCTCCGAGTAACACAGAATACCCCCTCCCCCAGATTGAGAATCGCATTCGTTTACACTTGCAGAGGAAATGCACACATAAAATATAAATACCTATGTCTTCTAAGATAAGATACAATCTTACATGGCATGCTTGTCTTTATTTTCTTTATAGTCTCCGTAATCGCGTGAACAGCGTCAAAACTCTGCTCGCCGAGTTGAAAATTCGAACTCAACCATGAAATGGTATGTGCTTAGTATTCCCGAAAAATGTTGACAGATATCCTTGTAATTGTTTTGCATTATCAGCCTCAGAGTTCTTCACTATGTCTTTTAAATTTTTCTTACCTACAACTTGCGAACTTCCATGTTTGTCTAAAGCGAAAGTGAAAACGAGGCAGCTCGTGCGAGTCATTATTCGCTTTCAGCGGTCGTTATTAAAAAATAAGTACTTCGTATTGACCAATCAGATTATCGGATTTCACAAAGTTATATAATATACTTTTATATTTGGAATAATGGACTGAGATATTAAAAAATAATGCTAATAAATACGGAAACCTCATAAACGTCAAATTAATTTTCAGAAAAAAATATGATTGAGAAGACCAAGACCTAAATAAAATGTAGGACGAATCATTTACTGAGTGAAATGTATGGGTAAGGAAAGATAACTTTAAATGGAGATTGGTGAAATTACTGAGCAGTAAAATATATTCAAATTGTGAATCTAGTATTTAGAGTGAAGTTCTCATTATTTATTTTTATTAAATCATGATAAACAAAAATTTGTGAAAAAAAAAATTAAAATTTATTCTTTTATTTAAAAAAATAACGTGGTATCCATTGAGTTCGAAAGCTGGCAATAACAGTCCTGAGTAACATTTTCTATTGAGAGTAGCATGCTATCCACTACGCTACACAAGTCCTGATGATCAGTGGTATTTAAATCATGTTTGTGGTATGACCATTGACTTAGTGGACTTTAAGTATTTCTCGAAAAGATACTAAAGTTATGTATGGCAGGCCAAATTCACAAAAATGAGCTAAACATAGTTTCACAGTCGATAAACTAGGTTTATCGGTTGTAAACTATAGTTTACGGACTGTAAACTATAATTTACAATGTTAATCTATATTTTACATCTGTAAACCATAGTTAAGGCGATAATCTATGTTTCAGAACCATAAACTATACTTAACACTGAAAACAATCAATTGCGATTGCAAAACATAGATTATCTAATAAATACAGTTTCATAATTAGTAAACTATGGTTTACAACTCTTAACTTTAGGAAACGATCTGATAAATATAGTTTTAAGAAAAACTATGATTAACAACTCTTAACTTTAGTTCACGATTGTAAATTATAGTTTACAAACGTGAATCTATGTTTATCAACAAAATCTATTCTTAACATTTATTACGGTCACGGTAGCCTAAATCGTATAGATTCTCGATCGCGGCGCCGCGTCATACCTAAGACGTAAACAAAGGTAGTGACTGTTCCTTCGCCAAGCGCTCGGCACTAGAAGTGAAAGTCACGGGTCTTTCGGATATGTTTATGTCACGGTAGGCGCTGGCAAAAGTGCCTCAAAATTTGAAGCCCTTCACCGGCATAACATATGAGTGAAATATTCTCAAGAGAGACGTTAAACAATATACAATCAATCAATCAGACAGATAAACCTTGATTAGCATTAGTAAGCTATATTTAACAACCAATAAATATAATTTTACAGATGAAAACTATAGTTAACATATTGTAAACTATAGTTCACGGTTTGTAAACTAAACTTTACAGTCGATATACCTAGTATATGAACTGTGAAACTATGTTTAGATCACTTTCGTGAATTTGGCCTGCCATAACAGACAGATAAACTTAGATTAGCATTCGTAAACTATAATTAACAAGCTTAAATATAGTATTACAGATGAAAACTATAGTCAACAAATTGTTAACTATAGTTATGGCAGGCCAAATTCATAAAAATGAGCTAAACCTAGTTTCACAATTGATAAACTAGGTTTATCGACTGTAAACTATAGTTTACAAACCGTAAACTATAGTTAACGATTCGTTAAGTATAGTTTTCATATGTAAAACTATATTTAACGGTTGTTAACTATAGTTTATGAATGCTAATCTAAGTTTATCTGTCTGTAATAAAACGTTAACGATAGATTTTGTTGATAAACATAGATTCACGTCTGTAAACTATAATTTACGATCGTTAACTATAGTTAAGAGTTGTAAACCATAGTTTACAAATCGTGAAACTGTATTTATCAGATAATCTATGTTTTTCAATTGCAAATGATCAGTTTTGGTGTTAAGTATAGTTTACGGTTGTGAAACATAGATTATCGCGTTAACTATTGTTTACAGATGTAAAATAAAGATTAACATTGTTAACTATAGTTTACAGTCCGTAAACTATAGTTTACAACCGATAAACCTAGTTTATCGACTACAATGTATGAAACTATGATTAGCTCATTTTTGTGAAGTTAGCGTGCTAAACATAGTTTCACAATTGATAAACTAGGTTTATCGACTGTAAACTATAGTTTACAAACCGTGAATTATAGTTTACAATTCGTTAACTATAATTTTCATCTCTAAAACTGTATTTAACGGTTGTTAACTATAGTTTACGAAAAGTTCATCTGTCTGTAATAAAACGTTTACGATAGATTTTGTTGATAAACATAGATTCACGTCTGTAAACTATAATTTACGATCGTTAACTATAGTTAAGAGTTGTAAACCATAGTTTACAATCGTGAAACTGTATTTATCAGATATTCTATGTTTTTCAATCGAAATGATTGTTTTCGGTGTTAAGTATAGTTTACGGTTCTGAAACATAGATTATCGCGTTAACTATGGTTTACAGATGTAAAATATAGATTAACGTTGTTAACTCTAGTTTACAGTCCGTAAACTATAGCTTACAACCGATAAACCTATTTTATCGACTGTGAAACTATGTTTAGCTCATTTTTGTGAATTAGGGGTACCATATACCATATACAACATGTAATACAATCGACTCTCAATGAGTCTAAACTGGGGTGAAACCCCAGGTCAAGTGTTCCTCAGTCCCCCAGTTCCACTCATTTATAGATTTATATGATTTTGGATTTAACAGTACATAATAATTCAAAGTTACAATACAATATACAGTAATGCTCTTTTGATATACAGACATCTGATAATAAGATAGAGAGATGACACAGATAGAAATTGCATGTAGGTCAACCTAGCTGATAAATATTCGTTACGTAATGGGCATGTTGGGTATATTTCCCTGAACAAACCATAGAAGATATGCGGTTTTGTACCTAATAATTGGATTAAATTGACCGTCAACTGGTAACTTGAATTGTTTAATTTTTTTTTATAATGTCATACATTGCTTTTGTGTTTGTTCATATATCAAGTGTGTGTTTTTTTTTTTGTTTTGCAAAAGGAACCTAAGCATGGAAAAACACCGATAAATAGGACGATTTTAACCCCAGTTTGGACTTTCAGTAGGGCGTGGCATTCTCGGTGCTACGTAATGGCGAATACTAGTAGATTCCCATTGGTTAAGAAATGAATAACATCAGGATCTTTAAATTGTTGTTGACAACGATGAGACGACTAATGCCCCACCTCTCTGCCATGAGAGAACTTTTAATTGGCTATTTACTACACCAGATGACATTCGGACGAATTTCTATCCTATGTATATTTCAACAGTGAAAGAAAGCTGTGTAAATTTCAGAAGCTCTAGAATGCCACGCCTACTGAAAGTCCAAACGAAGCTGGTAATGGTCCTATATAAATTCTCTAACATTTTCAATAACTAAGTTATCGTAATGAAATTTTCTTTTTAACATTGAACCCTTGGAAAAAACAAGAATCTTCGTTTTTTCGACATTCACTTTTTACTTCCATTGTAAACAATATGTGTGGAATACATTAATTGGAAGTTGTAATTCACCGGCTGATTCAGTCGTAATAACAGTATCATCCACCTAAAAAAGAACCAACAACTTAAAATACATCAGTAATTCATTCTCAACAGATCTTGAATTACTTTGCAAGCCAGTATTATTCTCGTTCAGTAATAAATCTTCAATGTCATTAATAATTACATTGAAAAAAGGAATGGTGAAATATTTTCTTCCTGTCTCACTCCTATATTACAGCTAAAAAAATTCCGTGAACGTGCCATTAATTTTATTATAGATTTTACACCTTTGTACATGTTTTGGATATATTTAAAACACTTGCCATTTATTTCGCCAATATGTAACTTGGTCCAAAGCCCATTTCGCCATACTGTATCAAATGCCTGTTTAAAATCAACGAATGCGCAAAAAAGTTTTTTTTCTTTGCATTGAGATGTTTGATAAAATTTGTAGGGTAAGGATATGATCAAGTGTAGTCGAATAACCTTTCCTAAAACTTTTCCTAAGCAACAAAGCAATGTAATGGGGCGGTGATTTTTAGGTTTTGTGGGGTCTCCTTTGTTTTTATATACTAGTATTGGTTTAACAAATCAACCATTCTTCAGGAACAAATCCACTTTCATATATGATGTTTAAAAATTTCAAGTAGATTGGCACAAGTGTTGTACCATAGTCAGGTGTGATTTCTTTTGTTAAAAGTGTGGGTTTTCTGTACATAACCCACACTTTTCTATAACTCCGCCCATCGAGCGGGGACAAAAGAACTATAAAATCATGCACAATTTTTAAATGAAACAATCAGCTGGGCTTGTTAAAGCAAATTCAGGAGAGTAAGAATATCAATTGTGGAGAGCATTGTGTAATAATTAACAATTAAAAACGGGCATCAATACTTTAAATTAAGTTTAAAAAAAAATTCAGAAATCGCTTTATTTTTTAAACATTTTTTAAGTGTCATGACCAGGGTGACGTTAGCTTAGTTGATTCCAATATCGTTCTTTTGATAACCAACAAAGGAAACACGGTACAAACATGAAGTAAAAACAAAAGTGTACACTACTGTACTTAAATAAAGTTTTCGATTACGGATCTAGCTGATCAAAGATCTAATTTTCATTAAATTGAAATATACATTTATTAACCTCTAACAATCATTTCAATCAACTTGCCACTGTGCACGACAAAGTATGTATCTGGTTTACAAAAGTTAAGTTAAACGAAGTTCATAATAAATTTAAATTATTTGATTTACGAGAGAAAAAAATAATATCAAAATAACATATCTCACTGAAACCTAACTCGTTAATTTTTCAATTACTAGTACATAAATCTTAAACGGACTTAGATATGTTTCATTTTTATGTCGCCCGCGTGGTGCAGTGGTTAGAGCGCCTGCCCTAGAGTCACGAAGTAAGGAGTCGAATCCCAATGTGGGACGTGGAGACCGTATAAACAGAGGTCCCGTGTCGCAGAAGGTGTTGACAGGTGTTGAATGATTTTAAAGCAAAATCATGTATGTTTTCTTCTCTTAAAATTTCCCTTTACAGAACATCAGAAACAAAAAACTCGTTTAGTACGAACACGGATATTGCGAATTTACGGATATAACGAAGGAGCGTAAAATCATATAAAATCCACCAGTAGCTATATAAATTTAATGAATTTCTTATACAGTTATAACGAATTACGGATATAATGATTTTAAAGTAATTTCATAGGTCCCAAAATTTCCCGTTATAACCGTAGTTTTGCTGTAAATTACAAATAATAGAGTCAACTTTGTAAAAAAATATATATAAATGCCCCCCCCCTCCAAAAAACTTGGGGCAGCCACAATGTTATATCAAAAGGTAGACAAGTGTGTGTATTGTTACTCATGGGTCTCCTATTCTTTTAAATAGAACTGTTAGAGAAAGTTCTATACCAGACCAATGTTACATGTACCTGGTATGAAGAGGGCCCTGTCATGCCCTGTACTACAAGAAGTGGATTCTGTGTGGAATGGCAGGAGAAGTTACCACGACCACAAGCTTAGTCAGCAGCCTCGGTCTGATGTACACGTCGTGGACCTCCGGAGTGACACCGTCACCAAGCCTTCCCCGGGAATGAGGAATGCCATGGCAACTGCTGAAGTCGGGGATGATGTCATGGGGGAGGATCCAACAGTTAATGGTAGGTGTTTCAGTTGATTTAAATATATGTAAAGAGTAAAAATTTTGCTATTTTTTGAAAAAAATCTTACGTGTACCTTTTGTCTTTATTTTCAGCTCTACAGGACAGAGTTGCCAGACTGTTTGACAAGGAGGCAGCATTGTTTGTTCCTACTGGAACAATGGGTAATCTAGTTTCAGGTTTGTACTTAACTGCTATATTGTCACTAGCAATTTTACTAGTAATCTAATACTGTTTTCTTACATTTTAGCTAGGTAAACAAAAAATTCTGTAATGACAAAGGGATTAAAAAAAACATACAGTCTTAAAGATAAATGCCCATGTAATGATTTTTTTTCAGTTCTTTCTCACTGTCCAGAGAGAGGCTTGGAAATTATCCTAGGCGACAAAAGTCATATTTTTCTTCATGAGCTAGGAAATGTAGCACAGGTATATTAGGGTCTTTATATTTATTAAATTAAATTAAAACATTAAATATTAAAGTAAAAAAATTTACAAAACACATGCATATTGGGATTACGAGGGTTGTTCCAAAAAGTCGTAGACAGGGAACATAGTTTATTTTCTTTTTGCTAAATCAAATTTCTTTTCTTGTCATTGCAAAGAGTAACATTTTATGATCATGTATTTTAAGTTTCATGACGATATCACATTTAATAAGAAAATTATGAAAAAATAAAGAAACCATGTAAGTGTACATCGGCGCACGAAAGCAAGCGTAATTTACATCTCTTATAACGTCATAGTCCCTTTTTCGGCTTTACATGATTCTATTAACATCCAAATGAATATTTTTTTATAGTGAAAAACCACTCTTTACTTAGATTCACTAATGTCTGTTTTCTTAAGTAGATTCGAATCTTAGTCAAAATCAAATTAGTTGAAAGATCACCTTACATTTTAGGCAGCAGAGAATATACCTTGTTTGACGATGTTCATGGTCCAGAACGTCCCCGCAAATGTCTGCGTTAAACAAACAGTACTCTAACTTACATGCAGTAATTTTTTTTTCGATATAGAGGAAAAACTATCTTTGAATCTCATACTTTTAAAAAACAACTTTTCTATTAAAATATAGTGTGTAATGTCCTTTCTGCACTCTTTTTTTCCGTCTCTGATGAATATAAAACATACCAAAAACAATTTATTACATTTCCGTGCGCCGGGTACGCGCTCGACGACGTCATTTTCATCAATCTCAATTCGAGCAACACTGAATATCATGCCACCAACCGTCTGTTTCTAAAGATATTCATTTGAAATTTTGACATATTATTAAGATTTTGATTTTGGTTTCAGTGTTTTCAATTTTAGTTCAATCTTTTACATAACATCAAAGAAATAAAAACAAATGCAATATTTATATGCGGAAATTATTCCGAATTTTGGTCGTGCGCCGACAGGCCATATCGGCCTTCATATAAATCGTCCCAGTATAATTAATATGAAAGATGTATATATAAGAATTCACAATTTTAAAGAACATTGAATGTATTATGTCTTTGCAAAATTTGGTTAGCATTGGTTACGTGTGTAAAAAGTTATCACCATTAATTGTCTACGACATTTTGGGACAATCCTCGTATATGCATGTTATTTCATTAAAAAAAAATTAAAAACAGTTTGACGGAAGTGAAAAAAATTATTTTTTTGGTTTGAGAAAGAGATTTAGTCTCATTAGAAAGATAATTCAAAATTACTTCTTTTCAATTTAGTAAAACTGTGATATAATTTTGGCTGGGTCGTGTAATTAATATACACTTTATCTTTCTGTGCCTATAGTTTGGTGGGTTGCTGACCTCTGTGGTAGAGAACAATGAGGATGGGACGATGGACCTGGACAAGATCAGGGAGAGGATCAGAGTTAGTGACGACCCCCACTTCCCCTACACCAGGCTCATCTGTGTAGAAAACACGCATAATCTTTGCGGGGGCTCAGTCGTACCAGTGTCTTATATGAAAAAGGTGGGTCTTCAATGTCTTGAAATCCTAAAATCCACATTTTATGAACCCCTACATTATCTCCTCTTTACACTACTCAATCTTAAAGAGAGAACATCTGTATATCTGATCATATTGTAATCATTTTAAAAGTGAATTCTTGAATGATATAGCAGTACAATGTTTGAACTGTTTGTTAGGTGTATGAACTAGCTCAGGAATATGGGATGAAGGTCCACCTTGATGGAGCAAGGTTGATGCATGCTGCCACTGTCCTGGGGGTCCAGCCAGCCGAGATCACAAGATGTGTAGACTCCGTTAACATGTGCTTCTCCAAGGTCTGCATTATACATCATGTGATTATGGTCTCTTTCGGTAGTAAATATGGTTTGTAATTCACCATAAAAATATCAATATTGACCAAGGCAAAGGGTTTCATTTAGACAGAACATTTATTTGTGAATTTAACTTTTTTTTCCCTTATAGGGACTTGGTTGTCCAGTGGGGTCAATTATAGCTGGAACAAGTGATTTTATCAAGATGTAAGTGTGGCAGTGTCAGAAACATGGCTTCCTACTAGCTTGGGCTAATGGGTTTAACCCTTAAGCTCAATCGATAGAGCAAAGGCCTGAGGGGCATAAAACTTAGATGAGCTCACTTTTGATCTCGGTCTCCATTTTTCCACTATTAATTCCTTTGGAAAAAGTGAGACTAAGATCAAAAGTGAGCTTCTCTAAGTTTTATGGCCCCCAAACCTGGACTGGCAAGTCAGAGATCCCGGGTTCAATCCCCAACAGAGGCACAAAATTGTCTCTGTTACTTTTGGCGCCCACGTTGGGACCCGGATGTTCTCTGGTGGGTAAAAGTGATTGCCCGCAGTAATTAGGCCCACAGGCGTCTGCACTCTGAAAGCGATGAGGATATCTTACCGGTATTCTCTGGAGGGGGACAATGTAGCAGTTTCAGATACATGGCTTCCTACTAGCTTGATCCCCAGCAGAGGCAAAAAAAATTGTCTCTGTTAAATGTCTCTATCCCCCCCTCCCAAACCAAAGAAAAAAATATGTAGAATTTTTAAAGATGTGTATGACTTTAATTTTAACCAAACAAATTTATAAAGTTGATTAGGTTTCTATTTGAATTGTAGAGCCAAGAGGAGAAGGAAGGCCCTGGGAGGGGGGATGCGTCAGGCAGGGGTTCTGGCAGCAGCTGCCATGTACTCACTGGACCATGTCCTCCCCAAACTTTCAGAGGACCACATCAAGACTCAACAGATTACAAATGGTGGGGATCTAATTTGGATATGGTTATATGATACACATGCAAGTTTATTTATTAACATTTTTAACAGATCTCAAATAATCTAAAGCCCCATAAGGAACAGAGGTCTTCTAAGTATTGGTTTTAATTGATAAGCATTTTGCCCATTAGTTTAGAAGTAATTATGAATTTATTTTTTATAAATAACAATTAAATAAAAGTTGCCATTTCTCGGTGGTACATTTGTTCAATTCTAATTCTTTTCAATTGTTTTTACAGCCATCATGTCAGCATCACAGACCGTTGTTCGTGTAAGTCATGAAACAGTGGACACCAACATAGTCTTCCTGACAGTGACAAAACCTGGAATCACGGCGACACAGCTTATGACAGGCTGCTTCAGGTATGATGTAGAAATCTTAATTATTATCTAAGAAATGAATTGAGTTCCATCCCAGGTTATACAGTAAAACCTGGGTTGCAGGTTATATATTGTATAACCTGGGTTGGGACAGTATATGACTTATATAGACCTTGAAAGGCATTTAAAAAGGTGTAAACTGTTCAATCCAAGACTGTTACAATTAGTAAGAATGTAGCTGGAAATTCTTTGAAAACTCAAGAATCATACTTCAAGAAATAGACTTATTGTCCCTGTTTGAAATGAACAGTTTGTGATGAAGTGTGACAAGTGTTACTTTCAATAAATAATAAAGAATTGTTGATTTGTAGATAAAATGTGTAAATAGATTTTTCAAAATACTGTCTATTTATGCCTCTAATTTTTTTCTTAACTTAGAAACATATTTATTTAAAACCCTCCTTCCCCAGTCCTGTACCCTGTACTTACATTTTGATCTTCTACAAATAGATATCTTTTGAAAATAGAAATATATATTTTTTTCCCTTGACACAGGTGACAGATGAAGAGAGGAAGGAGCTGGGGGAGGGAATTATCGTGAAGACAATCCCGTGCTCTGACACACTAATAAGGCTTGTCCTACACTGTGATATTTCCCAGGAGGATGTCAAAAAAGCCATCAGTAAATTCTCCTATGTTCTACAAGAGCTATCCTGATCAGTCCGCAATGTTATTAATAATTTCGCTCAATTAAGTTGTACAAGAACTATCCAAATTCAGTATTAATTCAATTTGTTTACACAGTCAGGTGAATTTATAAGAATTGTTGACTTATTTAAAAGTATCAGGAAAAAAGTCAACATTTGTCTAGTCTGCGGTCCGTGTAACACTTAACAATTCAAATTTCTAAAATGATTTTGAGTTTTAGAATGTTAATATATTAGTTCAAATTTCTAAATTTCAAAAACTCAAACTGATTTGGTACACTGTTATTTAATATTTTCGTCCAAAAATCTAAATTTTCAAATTTCCAAACAAGTTTTAAAATTTCAAGTTTATATTTTTTTCCCTTTAATTTTCAAAATTCAAATTCCTAAAAACGTTTTTTGTATTTTAAGCTTTTGAGTTTTTAATCTACCGTTTGTATAAAAAGTTTACGCTTAACAATCTAAAACTGGATAACATTTTCGTCTTTTGGTTATTTAAAATTTACTTCAAACTTCCAACTTTCAAACGCTTTAGATTTTTAGAAATTTAGAATTTTGATTTAAAAACTCAGCTTTCTAATAACCAAACACTTTTATAAATTTTAAGTTTTTAGAAGTTTACTTCAAATATTTAAAATATAAAATTCCATACCTTGTTTAAATTTGGAAATTCAAAGTAAAATTCCCAAACTCAAAGTGTTAAGTAATTACGAGGGTTGTTCGAAAAGTTCGTGGACGATGTCAGTCTTCGTTTTATTACTCACTAGAAATTTAATAAGCACACTATGATATGTTAAAATATTTGTTTTGTTGATGTGTGAAGTTTCATTCCAATCGATTTAACAGAAATCAATTTATTTCAGTTTAAAATCTACATGTTTTGTACCCGCGGAGCACACTTAACAGCAAT